TACCTCTGTTCTCTGCTTCTGAAATATCTGTTAGATGTGATCTTCTCAATTAACCTCCTGTCTCCTAACTTCTCTTTCCTATTGTTCATCTCTTTATTGCTCTTTGTTGCATTCTGTGTTAATTCCTCAGCAGTCTGTGTCAATTCATCATTTCTTTCACTGTTCCTGGTCTAGTTTACCCATGTTTTGAGGGTTTTTTTTCTTCATTGAGCCTGCTTTTATTTTCAGAATTTGTAATTTTTTAAAAATTGCTTGTTTTTCCTTCACACCTACTTTTGCTTCAGAACCTCTTACATTTTTTATAAATCAAAGACATTTTAATATAAAACATATCATACACACATATATATATGATTTGAGTAATATAATAATCCAACATACTTACCATCCAGCTTAAGAAATTTAACACCATTGACGTTCTCTCTCCCAGTCAAATCACCCTCCCTTTCCTCACCCAAAGGTAACGTCTATCTTGCTTTTTTATTTATAATTTCCTTGTTTTTCTTTATAGGTTCACCACTTATATGCATTTTTTACTTTATTTAGAATCATTCCATGACTTTCTTTTTGTGTTCAGTGTTATGTTTGTGAGATTCATCCGTGTTGATGTGCATACCCATTGTTTGTTTTCACTACTGCATATTGTTTTATTACGTATCATAATGTATTTAACTATCCTCCTGATGGTGGATATTTGGCTTGTTTCTAGTTTTTAATTAATTTTGGCCTAGTTTATATTTATTTAACATCCTTCCTTTTATTTTCATGATTTCAATGTCCTTGGGTTTTTGGTGTGTCTCTTAAATATCATAACTGCTGTATAAGTATTAGATACCTATATTGTTTATTTTATTATTTTTAGTCTTGAAATCTAATTGAGCAAGTATTCCTTCCCTCTCCTCGCCCCTCCCCCCATCTTTTTCCTTTTTGGAGAGTGATAGAAAGGATAAGAAACAAAGCCTGGGGCTGGCCCAGGGTAGGAGAGCATGCAGGAGCATACAGGAGTATACAGGAGCAGCTCCCTAAAAAAGCACAAGAAACTAACAACAAAAAGTTAAATCCCCTCTTGGAGACAAAAGGTAAGGGATCTTGCCAGGATTAGCCATAGTACTGGGTGCGAGGAAAAAAGACTTTCCCTGTTTCAACCCTCCAGTGTGGCCACACTCCGCACCACCTATGTGTCCCAAAAAGCTGTAAGCCTGTATTCTAACAGTAAAGAAAAGGGTTGTCTTGATGCATCTTGACTCACCACATCAGCCATCAAGAATGCCCTGTCCCTTCAGCTAAGGAAGATAGCTCTCCCATTTAGTGGATGACACTAGGGTCTACTATGACAGTTACTCTTTAGACCCCTTAGGACCTGGAACAAATTTTTAAGCCTCCATCTGGGATTAACACAAAATCCCTCTAGGGGACATCTACCCACTTTGCTCTAGTGCCCATCACATTTATGATGAACATCCCACCAAGTCCTCAAAGACAGCACCTGATGATGTATTTATCTAATAATGACTGATTCCTGTACCTTTTCAACTTATCTTCTATAGGAAGATGCTTATTCAACTCCATTCACATAGCAGTTTCTGACTTGAGCTGACTGGAGTGTACCTGCCCTTTTGGGATTACTCTGGATCAGCCATGTTCCTTTAGAGTAATCCTTTTGTACTAGAGTTCAGGCCCTCTTGGCTGCTTCTCTGTCCCAGTCCAGTCACAGATGTGCAGTGACCACCTGGCTGCTGACTTGCCCTCAGATCAGCTCTCAGCGGTGCCCAGGTTCCCCCAGAACCCCTGCTGTGCCCTCCATCTGCCACCCTGTATGTCCCCCACCTCCTTGCTGGCTCTCAACTCAGTACCCAAACTACCTGGGAGTTGAGGGAGCCTCAGATGTGTGAATAAGACGTTTTTGTCTGACTCTGGTTCTCTTTTTTTGACTGTTCTTGATTCACACTAGATTAGTATAAGCCTGCCTTGTTCTGGGAAGTGGGGCCAGAATCCCTTTGCCTTGGCATTCCTTGCATTCTATCTAACTCAGCTCATCCTTCATATCGGCCAGCTAGAAGGTTGAAGTACATCTGAGAACACCTACATCCACCTCCAACCCTTCATTTCCCCCCTTTTTGTCTTTATCCTTCACAATCCCTTGGGACAGAAAGCTTTGGGCTTCTGTTTTAAGCCCTTCTTACTATGCCCTTCTCCTTCCTGTCTCCAGCCTTGTGGTTAAGTGTTAACGGTGAAGAGGGTGTGGGGTAAGACACCCTGTAATGGTAAGTCTTTCTAAAATAATATACCTGTTACTCTGCAACAAAAACAGATGACCAGTTTGCAGGGAATCTGGATGTAAGGAAATGTGCTCAACTCTAAGGCTCTGTTGAATATAATTTCATATTTTATAATTCAAGACTCCTTAAGATCTTGTATCTTTTATTTAATTAACATCTGTATAACAATTCACAGTTATGAAATGCTTTCTCCAGCTTGAACGTAAGCATGACCCTTTGAGTTGAATGTCATTATCATCTGTCATTCATGGATGAGGAGACTGAGCCATTGTGCTCAAGCCTCTGCCCCAGATCACACAGTTTCTGGGTAAAGAGCCAGGATTCAAGCAAGCCAGGTATCTTGAGCACACATCCTGCATTCATACCACAGAATCACACTGATCCCAGGGTAAAGATCGGTTGTTTCTGACTGCAGATGTGTTAGGTGCTTGTTAATAGAAAGCCCTGTGGAGAGATTGCCAGAGAAACCAGCTTTGCCAAGAGTGGCAGCTCTTCACATCTAGAGTCTTATGTTTCTTCATCTAAAGGCATTAACATTTCAGTATACCTGCTTTTTTTATGCAATGTCTTTCCAAGTTTCCCTTTTTGAATTATTTGCATCCAGTACAAACATGATTAAGGTTGATATTTAAAGATTGATCTCTCAGTCATATTGCCTGTCACTAATCTACTGCATAGAAGAATATTGAAAATAATATCATTAATATCAATTTTTCTGACACTAGCTATGTGCTGATTGAATTCTGAGTGACCTACAGATGTGAATGAGAGCCCAGCACTCCTAGATAACAGAGGCTCTGGTTTGTGGCCAGAAGAACCGAGTTTGTAGCCATGGAAGTGAGCTAAGCCAAATGACCCACCTAGGAATTATCTTCATATATACTCAGACTTTCTAAGATTTTTCTGTCTCTAGCTCATCTGACTGATATAACACAAGATCTGTCCGTGAAGCAGACATTCCTATGGAAGAGAGTGGGGAACAGAAAAAAAGAAAGCTCAGTTTCCCTTCTTGATAGAGAAGCTTCCAAAGAGGAGGGGGAAATAGTTGGTCAATTTGGGAGGTTCTGGAGAGAGTAGAACCAGTAGGCTGTGGCTAACAGGCAACTCCAGAGAGAGAATAGAGAAGGTTCACATGTCCTTTGCCTTGAAGAAAAGCAGTTTCTTTCCCGAAAACTTTAATATACTTAAGACCTATATTTTACATACTACTTTATGTTCTAGGTTTTTTAATTTGGCATTTTATGTGAACTCTCCATGTATTTTCATAGCCTAACTCTTTTTAATCCCATTGCATTAGTAGTTACATAGGTTACTGAAACTTTTCTCTATTATTTATTGATATGAGTTGTTTCCAGTTATTCCATATTAGAAATAGTATAAAAAAAAACCCATATTTTTACAAAGAGTGTTTTTGAGTTCTGGTTCCAAGATTGAAATTACTGGGTCATCAAATGATTAGTCCATATATGTCTTTTTCATAATGCCAAATTGTTCTTTGAAGGAAATATATTAGTTTACAGTGTCACCAGCCCCACCAAACAGTGGGTTTTGTGATCTTTTAAATTTTGTTCTCATTTTATCAGGTGAAGCATTACCACATAGTTGTCTTATTTTTACTAAGCCAAACATTGAGCCAAATGTCAATTTGCTATTTGTATTTTTTTTCCCATGGGAGCTCTATTCATATCTGTTGCCCATTCGTGCTATAGAGATTGAGTGTTCACCTTCCAGCTTTATGTAGTTTAAAATGTGTTAGTTTAATTTTCTGATTAGTTTAATCTTATTTAACTCAATAAAAATATTGGTATATGAAGAGTATCATATAAATCTGAAGTATATTTTACTTTAAAATATAAAGAACGTAGTTTAAAATGTGTTAGTTTAATTTTCTGATTAGTTTAATCTTATTTAACTCAATAAAAATATATTGGTATATGAAGAGTATCATATAAATCTGAAGTATATTTTACTTTAAAATATAAAGAAAATATAAAGTATGTTTTCCCCATAGTTGTATGCAGCCTGTAAAGGAGTTAGGTTTGAGATGTCATAGGAGTGGCAGGTGCTGCCCCACGGGATGGATCAAAACCTGGAAACAAATCAGCTGGGAGTGGCAGGGTGCTTGGCTGTCATGAGTGTAAGAGAGTTGCTGGAGTTGATAATGGAAAAATAGTAACTCATGATAAATTTGTTAAGTCATGTCAAGAAATGGGCTAGAAATCAAAGCTAGGCACACATGGGATGAAAATATGCTTTGTGGTTGGCTTGGGCTTTACCAGCAGCATCCTGCCCATATCTTAAAAGAACAAAGTAACTAGAACAAGCAATTAAACAAGAGGGTGGATCCGAGGCACTCCTGCTACTGACTGCTGGGTCCTTGTTCTTTAACTGGTGGTAGAGTCGTCAGAGACCAGTTGAAAATTGCTTAGGGTGAATGTACATTGAGAATAGGAGCTCATATCAGTTCTCTCTGTATTCCTGTTTTGAAAGTAGAGCTGTTACTCAGCTATACATCGTGTGTGTGTCTGTGTGTCTGTGTGTCTGTGTGTGTGTGTGTGTCTCTGTGTGTGTGTGTAAACATGTCCTCTTATTAACTTACTTTTTCCCTGTAAAAATTCTGTTGGCTTATATGGTCCCAGGAAATGAAGTCATTTTTTTTTTTAATCTTCTAATGTATGTTTTCTGATTTAAACACAATTCACAGAAATATTTTCTTTCTAGTCTCCAGAAAACACAGAGGGCAAAGATGGACCTAAAGTAACTAAACAGGAGGTAAGTATATCTTTGATATCTTATATTTAATTATTAAATTGAAATCTTTAATATTGTTGTGGTTGTCTGCATCTGAATGAATACTGTTGTAAACAAGGTTGTTGAGACTACGTAAACTGGAGTTAAAGTCTTGCTTGGCCCAGGTGTCTGTGTATAGCCTCGCCTGGCCTAGGTGTGTTTCCGTTGAGTACAATGATGAGGCATTTTCCTCTTACTGCGTTGATTACATTTCTGCCTGTCGGTCCTGCTGTCTGTTAAAACAGATACTGAGAATTCCTTCTGGGCAAAGAGCGAGATAATAGGTAAATTCATCAAGGAAAACAAAGTCTGCCTTTCACAGCAAGAAAACGAAAGGCTGTTGATTTCATAAATTCTCTGCTCCAGTGAGTGAATTATAAATTACTTTTTAAGTTCTGAATACTTGTCTGAAAGGAGTCATCTCTAAAGTCAAAAACTGTGGAAGGATACACAATAGGTCAAAATATTAAAACTTTTTTAAATTAGGAAAACTCTTAGGGTATTGGGATAACTAATTAGGCAGAGACACTCTGTATTTCATAGACACTCTTTATTAAAACACAGAAACCTCCAAAAGGCTGGGAACTTGGTCAAGCTTGTTTTTGACCCTCCATGGTAATATTATTAACCTCTAAAAGGAGATGGGTGACAAAGTAGGAAATGAGATGTAACTGTGATGACAGCCATACCCTTTTGCACAGATCTTTACAGGGTGTGGAAAACTGCAGCTCTTACCCTTGAACTTATAAACTAAAATGGGTCATGAGTGAGACAAAAACAGTATCTAGTTACAGATTCTTTGATTGGGTGACTCATATTGTGGTTAATAATTCAGAGGAATTTGTCATGATACCAAAACCCCAACACAAGATTTGTACAAGGAAATTTATTCTTCCAAATGGAAAATCTTTAACAGAATCTATAAAGAAATAATTTAAAAGCAAAACAAACCAAACTGCCTGCCCCTATCATCCATGTACCTAGCATTCACTGTCTGACAGAGTTTGGAATAATCATGAAGCTTGTAATCCAGAATCAGGTCTCCACACAAGTGGACACCAAAGAACGAAAAATACTAGAACCAACCAAAAAATGATAAATGCTTGAATTTTCTTGGAAAACAGCACAATGTAATTTTAGGACAGTTGGCTTAGCCAACCTTAATGTTTTTAGACGTGGACACCAAAAAAAGCATTTGGGTTTCTCCTTAGGAACTGATCCATCAGTCAGAAAATCTAGAAACCATTGCACACAGTAGATCTTGTATAGTGAAAACGTTCTTCTAAATCTCTATATGAAAAGCAAATCAAGCTGGTTAGAACATATATGTATAAAGTTTATGTGTGTGTTTTTGCTTATACATCTGTCTTATACATTTTATTTTAGCCCAGGGATTTTTATTATTTATATTACTTATATTATTTATGTTTTTATTTATTTTTATTTATTATTTTTATATTTTATATTATCTATATATTTTATGTATTTTAATATTATTATTTAAAAAAATCTTTTCTTGACAATATTCTTTACCTGTCACTTAAGCCATGTCCAGATAAAAGTCATGATCTGTCTTTAGGATGTCAACACAGTTGTTTGAAAAGTGAAAAGGTTAGTCAGCTGGTGGTTTAGGGTAGAAAACTGTCAGACAGTATATTGATTGATTTTTTTTTTCCACTGAATTGAATGAATTTTCCAGTTATATCGTTGAGTATGCACAGCCTTGACTACAGTGAATAGATAGCAGTTACAAAGAGAGATTCTCTTTTGAAAATTGTCTACCACTGCCATGATATTTGAAGGGCATTGTGCAGGGGATAGTACTTCAGGAGAGACTTGGACAATAAATGACCGAAATAGTATATTACAGTCATTACACTGTGCAGTTTACAAAGCCCTTTCACATTCATTGTTTCATCTGATCTATACAATAACTCTGAAATTAGAGGAGGGCAGATTCATTCCTGGACAAAAATATATGAGCACCTATAATGCACTAATCACTCCTCTAGGCTCTGTGGATCCCACAGTGATCAAAAGAAGCAAAACTCCCTGACTACATGGAACTTCCATTTTAGTGGGGGAGAGAAAGAGAATAAAGTTAAATAATTGGATATTAGCTATGAAGAAAAATAGAGTAAGGAAGGGTAATAGTGAATGTCAGAGAAGTGCTATTTTTGATAACAGAGGGGCAAATGTTGTTATCCCTATTGTAACTAGAGCAAACAAGGTTCTCAGAGAAATATATGATTTACCCTGGCTGTTGCAACTTGTAAGAAGCATAACCAGGAAAGATATCTGAATTACCTGATCCAAAATCTTCTGTCCTCCTGCCCTTTTTGTGTCAGTCATAAAAACCTGGTAATCAGTATGCATTTCTCTGTCTCCTCCATTCCCCAGCCAAGGCTCTCATGCACATCTTTCCCTACTTCCTAGTTTTGAAAAGAAAGCAATTCCTGCCCTTTTTGTGTCAGTCATAAAAACCTGGTAATCAGTATGCATTTCTCTGTCTCCTCCTTTCCCCAGCCAAGGCTCTCATGCACATCTTTCCCTACTTCCTAGTTTTGAAAAGAAAGCAATTTCTATTTAAATTCTTAATGGTTTTTGAGAATTAAAACCTACTTGACTTTTGGATTTTGCTTGGAAGTACCTGGTTAAACTCAGGAACATCAACAAAAAAACCTCATAAAAATAAAAATAACTTCCAGATTCCAGTGGAATGCTCCATATGTTTCAAGCAGCATTCTGCAAAGTCCAGTGATTCTACTTGATCTAGCTGTCCCTATGAATTTTGTTACATGAGGTTAGACTTCTGTGTTGCTTTTGCAACCAGGACGTTAAAGTAGAAGATTCCATGTATTTCAGAGAAGCCTTCACCAGAATTTTCTCCAACCCAGGGAATGAACAGTTAATCAATAAGTGCTTATTGGGTAATTCCATTGTACCCTCACCTATATACCACAGTGACGAACCCTCACACTTATCGTATCTGACACTCTCGTGGTGACTTGTCTTTGGAAGTCTTCCTTCCCTCCCTGAGAGCCACTCTTTTGACCACTTTTCTTAAGGAGTCACACTTAATGAAAAGATCAAGAGAAATTCTTAACATCTTTTTTTCCTTAATAGTCCTACCCAACAACCTGAGTCTCAAATGAATACTTCAAATGCTAGTGTTTTAAAGAGGAAAAAATAGCAGTGTAGTCTGTTTCATATCTGATAAATATAGTCCAATCATTTATAGATTTTAGGGCTGTGAAAGCTGATGGAACTTTCCAGGAAGGCATCCACACTTGCATGCATAATCAGTACTATTGACTGTGAGTGAAAGGTTCATCTCAGCCTCCCCTGTTTGCAGTGAAAAAGAAAATCTCTTATGATGGTTACTGGAAAGGAATGGAAAAGAGAATTTAAGAGAAATCGTTTTTTGTTTTTTTGTTTTTTTATTTTTTGCATAGAAAAAAGAGCTGGTAAATTTTAGGTAGGAAGTCATAAAATGATTTTACAGTAAAAAATATACATTTTAGAGACTAGTTGGTTTGGCCAGCCTAGAAAGGAAAGCTTTGTTTTTGCATTAATTTCCATGTTTTAATTTTGGAACTCTTATACTGGCCTGTGCTATGGTGTCCCCCAAAGGTTCATGTATTGGAAACTTAATTCCCACTGTGACAGTGTTAAGGATAGGAAATCCTATTATGGTAATTGAAAGGTGGGGCCTTTAAAAGGTGATTAGATGGTAAATGGATTGATCCATTCATGGAGTAATGAGCACATTTCTGAAAGCTTTAAAAGGAGAGCAAGTGAGCAGGTTAGCTCTCTTGCTTAGCTTGTTCTCACTGTGTGACACCCTGTGTCTCTGTGGAAGTCACCATCAAGAAAAAAGACCTTCATCAAATGCAGCCCGTGGACCTTGGACTTCCCAGCCTCCAAAACTGTTAAGAATTAAATTCTCTTTCTTTATAAATTATCCAATTTCAGGTATTCTGTTATAAACAACAGAAACAAACTCATGCAGCCTGAATTTCTAAAAGGTATTAAGTCCTTTGGATCAGTTTTCAGGCCCTGTGGAGCAGTGCTTTGGTTGGAATGTCTCTCTGGAAATCCCAAAAGGCACTCTGACATCACTCAGCCTATCAGTATGTTTGGGTGTTCACATGGAAAGGAGAGGAGCAAAAGCATCACGGTTGGGGAATTTTTCACGATTTTGCCTCACTTCAATGACATTTTACACAGGACAGATAGTTAGCAGATAGGCTTTTCAGGTCCCAAACTAGAGAGTACCTGGCCTTAGGACCCACCCTCCAAGTTCATAATTGCTATGTATTTCTGGTGCTTACCCGTTCCTTTTATCTCAACATTTTTTGAGGGCCCCTGCTAGCACTGGAGCTACGGGAATGTCAGAGAAGATGGTCCTGTGTGGTAGGGGATATGGAAATGAGACAGATGAGGTGAACAGGGAAATAAGGCTACATTGTGCACATACATTGACACCAAACAGGGAGGGATTCCAATAGGTTCACTGACCTTTCTTTAGCATGGAGGCTGCCACTTTTCCTCTTGGAAGATATCATTATGCATGCTGTACTTTATTTACAAGATAGTATGGGTACTTGAGGCCACACTGAAGCTTAAAAGCTGAGTTCTGTTTGGTAATTGGGTGTTCCTGTGCTCCTGCATGCTCAGAAAGCATGTTAACGAAATACAGGATAGCCACTTGTTGCCCAGTTTAATTGATAATGTTTCCTTTCCTTCTGTGATCTACCCAATCAATGAAATTAATCATCCTGAGAAAGCCATTGCAGGATATGGGTTCTGATTCCCAGGGACCCATGGGTGCATTGTCGTGAATGACCCAAGATAATCATCGCAGGTGCTGTGGTGTTTCCTGTGCATAGTCTGATGTACACACTCCTCTGCACTAACCCACAGGGCTGTGGATGGCACTGTGTGCCGAGCTGTACATTCTCTTACTTTCTGCAGTGAATGTGTCCCAGCCAACCACTTAACCTGCACAGTCTCCAATTCTTGGCATATTCTGCTAGTTGGCCTTAAGTACAGCTCTGGTCTTTCCTCAAGACCCCAGGGTTAAAATTATTCATGGAGGCTCTAGCCCTTCATTTCCTTCTGTAGTTTAAAGAAAGATGAGTTTAGCTTCTCTGGATATTTTCAGCAGGAAAGTTCTTAGATGTAGGGATGGCAAGAAATATTTCTTTCAGTTTGACCTGACCAGCTGACCTAGGCTGACCTAAGCAGAGCTTCAAGAATTCCATGATTCCTTGTAATCATGGTACAGGTTCCTACTGATCATTTTTGCTGACCCCCTTTAAGGAAAATTATTTGAAACATTTAAGCTACTGTAATGAGGCAAAGTCTGCATAAGGCAGTAAGAATTTGGGAAAAGCTTGAATTCATTTACACATCAAATATTCTTGTATGTACTATGTGTTAGGTAATACACTATTCTACTAGAGATAAAGCAGTGAATAAAACCGACAAAAAGTATGGAGTATTTCTTTCTGGAATACTTTTAAAGAAAGGCAATTTTACTTTTAGAATGTGAAATCCCTTGGGGAGCCAGTTTATGCTGGATGGTAAATAGAATGTCAACTCAGTATGCTGCTGCTGAAGTGCCTAGGATAATTCTGTTATTTTAAATTTTGTTTGCAGTCTCATTTGCTGTTAACTTATAACTTCCTTGAACAAGAAAAGATTTCCTGAAATATATTAGTGTCTACACAGTTCCTCTCTAAATTTTCTAAACTTGAAATTAAAAGAAAAAATTAGTGAACTTTTTAAAATCTTTGAACATATTATTTTAGTAGATACATAAGTGTGTTTATTTTGTTACATGTAAAAAGAAGTCTTTCTTGTTAACTGCCTGAGATTTGTAGTCATTCTCTTTTCCAATATAGCAGCAAGCTGAGGGAACTCCTGCTGTATAAGTTTTTACACAATTATGTAAGTCTTTTCTTGTATTAACTTACATAAAAGCTTTACTTCCATTTTTAAGGAACAAGAGTCAGACTGGAGACAGTTCTTAAATAGCACCTCAATGCTTCTGCTGTTTGGTTTTATCATAAAAGTAGAGGTTATGGTTTGGGATGGAGCCTAAATTCATCTTCGTTTCGTTTTCTTACCCACCACACCCTCAATTGAAAGAAGCCATTTATTTGAACAGTGTGCCTGCACCTCATCAGAAACACTTCCTCTTGAGTATTATGATGCCCTTGATGCTTAGGTTTGTTTCACTATGTTTACCTGGAGAGGACAATGGGAGTCATACATTATATTCTTTCAACAGAGTAAGGTATATTAAGAATGAATTTTTTAAAAAATCAACCTGGTTGTGTATAATCACCCAAAAATATATATTTTTCCATTCTCTTTGTAGCCCACAAGACGGTCTGCCAGATTGTCAGCGGTAAGTACCTTACGAAGGTTAGTTCTTATGAATACTTGTTCCTTTTGCCCAAAGCAAAGCAAAAAAAGGAGTGGTGTTTCCCTTAAGTGTATTTGCATTTTGAAAATTACCTGGTGTTACAATTTCTAGCAAATTTGATTAGTGTTGCCAAGCTGATCAGATATGTCAGTGAAAAACAGTGGCCAGTCCTGTTACCAAGAATATAAAGCTCAGGATGTTATTTGATATTGCTAGATTTCTGAAACAAAAGAAACATGTTAAGCAAAGTCCTAGCCTTCAGATTCTACATATGATGTGCTGAAGTGGACAGAATTCTAATTCTCTGTCCACGATTCATACACTCATACTTCAGAACATTTTTTAGCCTAGTGTCAGAATGTTCTGAAAGTGGTCTGAATCCATATGCTTTAGCCTCATTTCAGAACTAAAGAGTCTTTGAAAAAGTAACAATTATACTTTGCTACTTGGAGTTCTCTTCTGTGGGGCAAGCCCAGGGAAGGGAGGAAGGTTAGGATTATAGCTGGGATGGGCAGATGTGGCTTAGCCTCAGACATGAATGTGCTGCTGCTCTTCCTCACTGGTCTGTGCTCCTTGCGGGCTCTCATGCTCCTTCTTGCTGCCTTCTGATGTACCCCCTGCCAACAGACAAATCAGTCCTGACTCTAGTAGATTTTGGTTAAAAGTCCTGCAGCCGGGCTGCCCAAGGTAGGGGGAAGGCATTGACATCTTGGTTGACAGCATATATCCCCATACTAGATATTAGAGGAGCTACAACTACTTTGGCCTTCAGGGAAGCATGGCCCAGCCCTGTGCCTGGTACAGTGCAGGGAATCAAAGCAGAAATATGTAGAGCACTCACAAGTTCAGAAGTATAGCTGAGTTTGGGTTGAGTGAGCCGGTGTTTCTTGTGAGACTGACAAGGAAGTATGATATCAGAGTCACCAGGAAGACTTAAGACCTGGGGGGTGCTGTTGTGAGCCTCTAGCCAGTGAAGAGAATAGACCTTTTAAGTCAAGTGAAAACCAAAATTTGAAACAAGGCTTTTCCTGAGCATCAGAGACCAGTAATATAAGCACCTTCCACTGAGATCATTCCCCATGGTGTCGACACAGAGTCTTCTTAGAGGCCAGCAGGGTTACAGACTACAAAACCTCTTTTCCTGGGCCTGTCAAAACACTGGAATGCTGAATCTATAGGAAAAGTCTGTCTTACAGAAAATGATATAATAGGAAATTACTTGCTGTAAATGGAGAAAACTTGTGTATATTAATATGTCAAAGCTTGGAATAACAAAATTTTTTAAATCCTGAAAATTTAGGAGCCATGAAAGCTGCTATATTTGGGGAGTAGACTAAAGATTTAGGGTAGTAAGATTAATGAAAACATTTCTTACTTTTCAAGCTCAAGCTCTTTTTTTTATTTCAAAGGTCATTTCTAACAGCCAGTCTTCTGGAATTGAACTGTCTACAATTTCACTTTATACCCTTGATGAAAAGGCCAGATTCAATATGAACCTGAACCACCTAGAGGCATTGGGGAGGAACATGTATTTTTCTCCATAGGGGGAGACCCTAGCCAGTGTTTTCTATTTAAAAACCATTCTTCTATGGGAGAGATGTACACTTACTTTTTTCTAGCTCTATGAGAGGAAATATGTGCCCTAAAATATCTACAGAAAACTCACGACTTAAACTGGTTATCTTTCCACAGCATCCCCATGTGCCACCTGGTCTCAGCCCAGTGGGAGGCTGTCTAGGACTGAATCCCTGTGTGGAGGGGGGACAATGGCAACAGGGTTTGAAGGCACTGCTCCCAGGAATGGGAAGAGGGTCACATGAGATAGGAGAAAAATAGTTCGTTAGGGGGCTCTTTGGCAAATAATATTTGTGAAAAGTCTTAAACTTTGGGGTTAACAGTGGACATTTTTATCATTATAATTGTGTTTTTAATAAAAAGCTCTAGAGACAAATGAGCCTAGTGTCTGGGTGGGTGAGGGAGTCTCACCTTGAGCTGGCATTGGAGAGTATGAAATTAGGAAGAGGCTTGGCTACAGAACTTGAAATCTACATCAGAGGTGGAAGGATTTGGAAATCATTTTGAAATACTTCACAGGCAGCAGTCTTCGTTACCAGATGGGCTTTGCCTGTGATTGTGCTGTGATTTCTAGACTGTTGGGAAGGCCAATGTGACTGAATTCATGGAGTCATTTGGCCAAGGGCCTGAGTCATTCCTCTTGCTGCTGTGCTGTGATAAAAGGAACTACAGACACATCGGAGATGGAAGCTGAATCCTGTTCCTGGAGAGCTATTCTGGACTGGCGAATAATGAGTCGGCTTTTCGATCTCACCTGCCGTTCACTTGTGAACCCAGGATGAAAATAGTTATGAAATGCTAGGTCTTTAAGCTGTTACCTAAAGCTGAAAATGGGACAAAATATTTTTTTAAGTGAGCAAAGTCATAGTCAAAATAGATGGCTGTCTTTTGTAGTCCCTTTGTGTTCCTTTTGGTGCTATCCATTGTCTTTTTCAGTATTTGCGTAATTTAAATTATCTTTACAGAAACCTGCTCCACCAAAACCTGAACCTAAACCAAGAAAAACATCTGCTAAGGTAAGAGGTGCTCCATCCCATCTTTGGCTCTTTAAACAATGAATAAGTTATAATTCCATACCTAGAAATCACCCAAGGAAAGTGCACGTTTAATGATTCAGGCTATAATATACTGACCAGAAAACCGTTACCACTGTTATGGGCTTTTTTTAAAGGCATAAAGTACAGTTTTATGCTTTAACAGGAATGTGTTTTCTCTTTGGTCAATGAGCCGCAGAAGTCAGAGCATGTTGCTCTGAGAAGCCTCATGTCCAAATGGGCTTTGGCAGCTGCCCTGTGAACATGTGGTTCACATGGTGCTACAAGTGGTAAGGTCACATACTGGCAAGGGAAGGAGTTGGGGGCAGCAGGGGGGCTTCGGGCTTCATATAACTGGCTTTAGTAGACAAGTCTGATGACTAATAATAATGTTAATTAACAGCAACAAATAATTAATACTAGTATACATTTATATGGCCCTTCTACTATGCCAGACACTGTTCTGGTTGCTTTAATCATATAACCCTCACATCATTCCTTTAGAGGTAGATACACACGTCCTGTTTTGCAGATGAGGAATTATTAAGAAACATTCAAAATGGCTTTTCTGCACCCTGCCCTTCAGAGCATTGTCCCTTGTCATGAATTGTTTGAAACTCTATATAGTGGCATGAGTAGGTGATTTCAGAAGCACTCACTTCTGTGGCTTGGTCTTAACATTAGGAACTTTTCTCCATCTGGGCGGCCCTTTTCAGGGGCTTTCTCAGCTTTCTGGTCACACAGCCTCACATCTCCATGTGAGATGTTTCACTGGAAGGCAGCAGCTAAAAGCCGCCCCCTGGCTGGCCTCTTCCCCAGGCCTGCCTCCACCTTCACTGAGTCCCGCTGCAGCTCTCTCCATGGCAGAACCTCTCTCTTTAGTAGGAGGGGAGGTCCACTGAACAAATACATGAGAGGGATCCTCGTGTTTTCCCCAGAAGGGGAAGTCCAGCAGGTTTTTGAGCAGCCTATTACATTTACATAGAGACTCAGTCTAACTCAGTTGAAACCCAGCAAAATTGGGTTTGCATGTCCCCTTAAAGGCCACCAAGGTAGCCATGGTCATGCTTCACCTTGTGTTCAGACAGAGGTTGATTGATTGTAGCTATCACCACACCGTGTCTAACATGCTGCTTCCCTGTGCTTTGATCCTATTAGAAAGAACCTGGAACAAAGATTAACAGAGGTGCTAAAGGGAAGAAGGAGGAAAAGCAGGAAGCTGGAAAGGAAGGTACTGCACCATCTGAAAATGGTGAAACTAAAGCTGAAGAGGTACTTTCCATAAATACCTCCCACTGATTGAATCAGTGTCTTTAAAGAAATTGCTCAATCCTTCAGCCGGTGATAGCACGTTCATAATGTCTCTTTTTATTGCCTATAATGTTATTGCAGATCCACATCTCTCGCTCAACTGTTAATGTCTCATCCTCCAGAGGTACCCCACCCAGCACACTGTCAGTAAAAGGGCAGATTGAAACAGTGAGAGTTAAGGGTACAGTAGAAAATTCTGCATGTTTGCAGTGACTAGAATCAGATAGTGGTGTGGTGTTTTTTATTATGAACGGTGGGAGCTTGCAGGTAAGGCTTCTGTGGTTGTTTGAAAAGCAGAAAGCAATAAATGCAGCAAAGTGTTTGTATAATATATTCCTGCCTTGTCTGTTTTACACCCAGAGTTGAAATAGGTTTTGCAGTATTGCTGCAAAAAAACACAAATGTTCAAAAGTGTGTGTGTTAGTGGGCGGACTTTTCTTTGGTTATAGTAGTTTTAGTAGTAACTACATGATTTTTTTTTTCTTTCTTTTTCACAGGCACAGAAAACTGAATCTGTAGATAACGAGGGAGAATGAATTGTCATGAGAAATTGGGGTTGCTTTTATGTACCTCTTGGGACAACTTTTAAAAGCTATTTTTACCAAGTATTTTGTAAATCCTAATTTTTTAGGACTCTACTAGTTGGCATACAAAAATATATAAGGATGGACATTTTAACCTCTCATAGTCATGCTTTTTGGAAATTTCCATCATCCTGAAGTAAAATAAATAGCAATTTAATATTGGAAGCTGTGTTTAAAATTGATTCAGCTTTCCATGCATTTGTTTTAAAAATTTAGTCCTCTGCATACTGTGGTGTTTTTACTGTGCATATTTGAATTTTTCATGTAGTTTTTCTAGAGCAATAATCAGTGGTGCTTTTGTATCTAGGTTTTATGTGATTTTAATGAAACATGGATAGTTGTGGCCACCTGCTGACTATTTGTGGTTTAAAATAAAAGGTTTTCTTGTCTGCAAAATACCTGCCTCTTAGTATCTTTACTAAATTTAGGGTGTGTTTTATTGTTTTGTTGCAGAAGATGTAAAGAATTTCTACAGTCTGTGCTATATTGGTATCTATAATAAGTCAAACAGGATTGTTACTTAGATTTGCTGGCCTTTAACATTGTTATTTTAATAAAATCATCTATGACTGCTGGTGTAGAAGAATTATATCTAATGTACTTTATACCAGAAGTGGCCAGAAATGATTACCATATAATAAACGTTATAAAAACACTAATTTTTTTAAAAGTCCTTGTAAACAGGATAGAGTTTTGCTAAACCAGAACTAGTAAAAAAACAAAAACAAAAATATGAACTAGGACTTGTCTTTGAAAATCTCCCACTCTCAAAATAATACTAAATCACATTTGTACTAGAATACTTGCCCATTCGTTGAGGACATCACAGTTTTGAAAACTGCTCTTTACCAAACATGACTGCATCTCAACATCACATCAACCTGAGAAGGATGTTGACATGGGTATTACTAGAGCTGCTTTCTAGGCTAAGAAATAGGAGTGTGGAGAGTATGTAACATACTGGAAGGAGAAAATCCAGGCTTGAACCTTTTTTTTTTTAAACCGGTAAGGGGATCCCAACCCTTGGCTTGGTGTTGTCAGCACCACGCTCAGCCAGTGAGCACACCGGCCATCCCTATATAGGATCCAAACCCATAGCCCTGGTGTTATCAGCACCGCACTCTCCCAAGTGAGCCACGGGCCGGACCCTCAGGCTTGAACCTTTTGAATTTTAAACAGTGTTCTTCTGTCTATGAAAGGACATAGTAATTCCAGAAACAGAGGATTTAGTTTATAAATGTAATTTTTTGTAGTTATTTGCATTCCTGAGAAGTTTGGTAGCTGCGTGAACATCCCAGAAAAGCTGAATTCTGGGGATTCTGCTTAGAGGAAGACTTGACTCTTAAGATGGAGAGTAGTGGCTGCACTGTCCGGGACTCCTGCAAAAAGGCAGTTGTTCCTCTGTGCCTTAGATGTTTTTATGTTGTGGTTATCAACAAAAACAAAGTCTCTCCTCCAGCTTATATTTTGGGGCTCAGAACTTAAACTCATGTCATTGTCCCAAGTCTGTCATTAGTCGACTGCAGGTATCAGCCGTATTATATACAGAATAATCTCATTCATAGTTTCCTTGGTTTCTATGAAATGTACCATAACTCATGAGTTTTATCTTGGATATGCTGAAAACCATTTTTACCTCAAAGAAAAATGTCTGGTATCCTATGAACACTTTACAAAAATATTTTCAAAATGCAGTTAGTACACAGTTGAAGTACATTACTGGCCAGTTTCCAATCAGAAGTGGACAACTAACTCCATATGTTTGCTTTTTAAAAAATTACATAAATAATATAAGTGATTTTTTAAAATTCTAGACATTACAATAATATATAAAACAAAAAGTCAAAATCTTCCTTTTCCCCATTCCTACAACCCAGAGGTAATCATGCATACTATTTTCTTTATGAATATGTATGTACTTGTGAATGTATGTATGTATATATGTATTTACATATATATGCACACACATACACATGCACATATAAGTTTTAAAAGAGGGAATCATATTAAACATCCTATTTTGAATGTATTCACTAAACTGTAGTTGGAGATACAGTTTCTAATATTACAATGCTTCCAATGATACTGCAGTAAATCTGCTTGTACACAGACAGAGCTTTGCCTACTTCTGTGAGCATTTCTGCTCAACTAAATTTTCTAGAAATAGAATGTCTGAATCAAAGGGAATGTACATTTGACATTTTATCTATTACCAAAAGAGTTGTGCCAATTTCCACTCCCGTCAACAGCACATGAGTGTCATCTCTTCCTACCTTTACTGGCATTGTCATTTTGGTCAGTCCAATAAAGAAAAATATGCCTCGCTGTTCTAATTTTATCTTATTACTAGTAAAAGTAAGCTTTTCATGTGATTAATGGCCATTTGAATTCTATGAATTTTGATTTTGTCTCTTTTTCTATTGGACAGTCAGTGTGTTTTAAAGCATTGTTATTCATAGTGACCACTGATGCCATTACTTTTATTTCAAACACGCAAAGATCAGGGGTTATGTAGGTCATTGGTATGTGTCTGTTTAAGTATATAGGTATTATCGCTCCCACGCTAACAAAGCAAGTGAATACTGTAGAGTTGACAGCTACCCAAAATAACCCAGGAACTGGGTTCTTAGGGAAGCCAGGAATTGGTTCCTTAGAACTTGAAGACCTGATGAATACACTGCCAAAGGTAAGGACACACTGCCTGCAACTACATGGACGGTGTGGGAGTACCCACCCACTGCTACCCCTTTGGTGAATTCATACACACCAGAAAAAGGTCGCCCTTCAAGACATTTGTCTGCTAATCTGCTGGAAAATCATAATAACCCTTTGAATCTACAATGACTTTAAGTCTAATGGTACCCCTTGTAGTTCAGTTGCAGTAGTTGTACAATCTTTAAGTGGTAGTCTGCACCTTAAAATTCTTTCTGGAGGCTGCCCCATTTATTCTGGTGGAATAAAAGTGGGCTTTAAGAGGCACATGGCCCTGGAATTTCCAATTATAAGTTCTTTGAAGTGATAATCTAAACTAAAAGTCAAGATACATTGGTCTAACAATAGGTGAGCCCTCCCATAAAATCTTTGATGTACATTTAACATAATTAAGGAGTTTGAAACAAGGTATGACATGCAGGTTTCTTTCTGTCCCCTAATTTTAGGGGACTTCACTCTTGGCCACAAATGCCATCTCTTAGGTTGCCAACTGTAGCAGGCTTTGGGAACCGTCTCAACACTTATCTATCACACACTAACATGTTTCTTTGAATGCTTTTCTCTTAATCATGAATTCCAAACTTTTGTTGTTATTTTCTATTTATTATTTTATTTAGAACACTGATTTAAAATTTCTTAGGGGCCGGCCCGGTGGCGCACTGCTACAGTGCGCCACTTAGGAGCGCGGAGGCGCTCCCGCTGAGGGTTCGGATCCCACATACAGACCGGTTCCCGCTCACTGGCTGAGCGAGGTGCGGGTGCAACACCGAGGGTTGCTATCCCGTTGCCGGTCCGGTCCGGTACAGGTGCGACACTGAGGGTTGCGATCCGTTGCCGGACACAAAAAAAGACAAAAAGAAAAAAATAAATAAAATAAAATTTCTTAGAATAATTACAATGATTCGGATAATAATACCTGGAATTTACTTAATGCCCTGTAATAAGCACTTTAGATAAGTTATCTTACTTTGGGAGAAAACTTATGAATTCTTTAATTATTTGAATATAATGTTTCTGTCCCTTAGTAAAAATAAGCCCAGTTTTCCAACATCATATTGAGGCTCCGGCTCACTTAAAACTATAAAGGGAACTTTGTGATTATGCATCTCTCTCTCATGGGAGAAAAGAAAGTCTTTGCAAGCCCATTTTAAAAATAATATTTACATGTAAATATTTATGGCCTTGAATTAGGCAAAGATTTCTTAAGTATGACACCAAAAGCACAAAAAACAAAAAAATAGGTAAGTTGGACAATATCAAAATTTAAAACTTCAAGAAAGTGAAGTCAACCACAGAATGGGAGAAAATATTTTCAATTCATAAATCTCGTAATGGTCTCCAATCCAGTATATATATAAAGAATTCCTGCAATAAAAAAAACCAAAAAGAACCTACTTTAAAAATGGGCAAAAGATTTGAATAGAGATTTCCCCCAAAACATATACCAATGGCCAATAAGCATGAAGGGATGGTCAACATCATTAATTATTAGTAAAATGCAACTCAAAACTATAATGAGATGTCACTTTATACCCACTGGGATGACTATAATAATAATAAAGGGGAGGGGGAAGAAAGAGGAAAAGGAGGAATTGGTAAAGGGACTCGAAAGTCAACTACATTGTATATTGATAAATTTAAAAAATAAAAATAATAAAGGAAACTAAGTGTTGGAGAGGTTATGGAGAAATTTGGACATTCATTGCTGGTGGGAATGTAAAATGGTGCAGCCTCTTGGGAAAACAGTGTGGCAGTTCCTCAAAAGTTAGAGTTACCATATAACCCAGCAATTCTGCTCCTAGGTATATAACCAAGACAACCGAAAAAAACATATGTTCACACAAAAACTTGTACATGAATGTTCATATCAGCATTATTCATAATAGCCAAAAAGTGGAAACAATCCAGATGTCTGTCAACTGATGAGTGGATAAATGAAATATAATATGTCCTAGAATAGAATATTATTCAGCCATAAAAAGGAATGAAATGTTGATACATGCTACTACAGAGATGAACCTTGAAAACAATTTGCTAAGTAAAAGAAGCCAGACATAAAGGGCCACATATTTTGTGTTTCTATTTATATGAAATGTCCAGAACGGGGAAATCCATAGAAACACAAAGAAGATTAGTGATTGTCCGGGAGAAAGGGAGAAATAGGGAGTGATTGCCAAAGGATTAAGTGTGTCTTTTGAGAGTGTTGGGAATGTTCTGGAATTAAATGGTTGAGATGTTTGCATGACTTTGTAAATACACTAACAACCACTGGCTTGTACTCTTAAAAAGAAAAAAAAAGACATTTATAAGGTTATTGAAAGCACAGGACTTAGAATCACAAGGTCACGAGGTCTGGATCTAAATTCCTATTTCTAACTAATTGTGTGAACCCACACAGGTCATTTAACTTCTGCCTCTCAATTTTCTCATCTCTAAAATAGAATATTTGTTTGACAGAGCTGTTAGGATGGAAAGAGTGTTTAAGGCAGTGTTTAAAATACAGTAGGTTTTCCACGAATATCGATTGAAGTAAAACTGGATGAATACAAATGGGTTTTGTAGGCATGCTCTGATAATTAAATATCATATATGTTTGTCATAGGGAGCCTTAGGTCAATGAGTCTCTCTTGAACAGTGCAAAAGCAGGAATTGTGCTTCTTAGAAGGCAATGTAGTATAATGGTT